AGCAACAAAACCAAACCAAAAGGTAGGCACTCTACATAAACAACAACTCAGTGGATCAAAGAACAAAAAGTAGTCCTGATCACTTCAACAGTTTCGTGATGAAGTTCCAAGGTTTTACACATTAAAATTGAAGTACGCCAAAGCTACTGCATGCGACGTCCATTTGTCGAAATGATTTAGTAAACCGGGGATCAAAGAAGTTGGCGAACATTTTTTCACTCATTCATTATTGTCGCCAATTCAAAAAATTTGACCGAAACGTTTTCACTTGACTTCACAAGAGCGCGACGTTTCATTTCAAATTTGATCACATAATTAGCTGCAAATGTTTCCAAGGTTGAAGCTCTATTGCTGTATTATAATTCGAAGGGGTCGAGTAGTAAACGGTTTCAACACTACAAATTTTCATTGCAGCTTTAACCAAGTCAAAACGAGCCTCATCTTCATCCACATATTCATCATTATTTTCAGAAAACAATAACCTTCAGTTCAACTCCAAAAGAGACAATGTATATTCATTCTTACAATCTATTAGAAGCACTTATTTATTACATTCCGTGGTAGTAGCAATTTTTTATGCTCTTCTTATGACTTATGGCTTACATCTTTTGAGGCTTCAGAGATGGTCCTCGAAGATTTTCGCGGCACAACTTTTTGTGATTTAATTTTGGCCTAACACGGATGATATGCAGGTTGCAATGTATATATTTTTGTATGCTATGCTTATAGGTATTTTTGCTTCAACTTCATTCTAATCTTATACCAACTCCTAATTTTCTCTTTTCCTTTGCAATGTCCCTCATTTTACAGTCTATTCCTCCAATATTCAGCATGCTCTTTGAATTGTAGAAACCGCATTTTATCTTTGTTTACACATTTTCAGAGGATTTTCTCTTTTCCTTTCGTGTATTATTCCTACTTATATATACTTGAAATGCCCAGCAATATCATCTATCCTCTCAGAGTCTGAATAATGAATGCAAAAAACTGAATTTCCATCATGCATGTCATCTTCACTTCTTTTTTATTTTTGTTTCCAACACTCAAACTTCAAGTAGAAACAAAACCCTGGTATTCACCAATAGTAGCAATTCATCCTTTTTGTTTGGGTACTGACTTTGTTATCGTTCATATGTTAGAATCACGGTGCAACTTCTGGAAATTTCTTCGTGATCTTGTCTTGCTTTTAGTGGATATTGTTTGCTGTTTTGCATCATTATTTGGATACATTAGACTTTTAATAGCTTCGAAACCACCTAAGCTTCACGCGAGATGTCAGTCGGTTATACGTATTTTTAATGTAATTACCATACCATGCATCTATGGCCCAAAGCTTCTGATTCATTTGTTAATGGATAGCATTTGTAACCTCCATTAAATAAAAAAATGATGCAACTCCCATGCGGATGACATTTGTACATAAAATTTGTTTGCTTTGTTTTTTCTTTTGTTTTCTTTAATGGTTCTTTTATCAAAATAATTAGTTTAGTTGTTGGATAATAAATATGTTCTATTAAGTGAATTCTTTTACTTCAAAGTTGATCAGTAACATAAACTAGTTCAAGAGTACAGTTTTGTTTTGTAGACAAATAGGAAAATGGGAAGCACAAGGACAAATAAAAGTAAAATGAGATTCAAGAGCATATCAGATAGCGTGAGGGTGAGATGGTATTTTAATAACCTAGTTTCAGTTAAATAAGCAACGCTAAATGCAGATTTTTTTGTTTTTGTTTTTTTTCAAGACTCTTTTACCGTTATTACTCTCTCTTTTTGCCACATGTCACTCTAATTTAATCAAACAAACGAACTAAATATTAAGTCATTCTTTTGTAACTTAGTTACAAACTTGCCACTGATCTCGTTTTCATCTAGAAACCAAGATCCTATAAAAAAACAAATAAACCCATGTCAATTAAGGAAGAGCAACAGAGCTTGTGATTTCTTCCTCACTCCAGTGCATCTGGGGAAAAATAAAAAAAAACACACGATGAGGAAGAGTTGTTTGTAATTTTTTTCTCCAACATTTCCGCTTCAATTACTGGTGTCGATACCCAGAAACTCAATGGAATCGTCGTATGATATGACGCAGGAAGTAAACAAATTTTTAATTGTGATTCACTCAGTCTTGTGGAACGAAAAACAAGAGTATAATAGTTTGACTTAATTCTTGATTGTGGCCAAATTTTGTTCATCATTTCTCGTCAACATAGAAAATGAGATTAAATCACGAAACCGATAGCCGAAATGAGCTAGGAGTTGTCGGTAACTCGCGGGTCGCGGATCGTGGCGCTGCCCCAACAACCAATCCAGCTCACCAGAGGAGTCGTCAAACGGGATTGCCCACCTGGAATCCGAAGATCAGCATGGAGATTTCCTTCCCGCCAGCGTATATTCTCAGCATTAACTCATGGGATCATGCCCGAAATAGCAAATGAGAAAGTCAGATGCAATATTTATTTGCTCCCTTGATCATCCTCTCTATATGGAAAGTCTTTCTAGATATTCTTCAATTAAAAGTCAAATGAAAAACTATATAAAGGCCTATTTCCAGCCATGAAGAGCCTATAAATACAAATCATAGGCGTCTAAGACTGGAATTCACGCATTCTGACTCATATTCACGCTCTCCTGCACACTCTTCTACATACTTTTCTCATACTTTTTAGTATTTTTCTCATCTTATTTCTCATGACATTTATGAAAAACATCATTGTAATTTCATTTAAGATCATAGTAGACGACATAGCTCTTTCATCAAGCGAACCTCTTTAAAATCTGTGTCATTTTCTCTTTTATTTTTCTACTTATTATTTTATTACAATTGCGATACTAACCTAATTATCTGAATTCAGTCATCGACCTCTTATAAATTTAATCGTAGAATTTCACCAGATTCTTAATAAGAACTAGGAAGTAAACAAACAAATAAGAAAAACAAAAATGAAAAGTAACTCCAAACAAATTTATCTCCACTATTATTAAAATGAGTAAACGGTTTTTTTTTATTTCCTTTCTTCGGTTGGGCGTCTGTGGTTTCTTTCTTTTAGACCAAAGAGAGTGTCTATAAGTAGGACTTTATTTGAACTAGAACAAGAAACTTGTGGCATTTTTTTATATTTGTTTATATGTGGGACTTTATTTTAACTAAGATAAGAAACTTTTTAAATCATAAATGAAAATGAAACGTTTGTTGTTGTAGGCATGGATCAACGATAATTCTACAACACTTAACTTTACCACACGGTATAAGTTTAAATTCCCTAACTTGTGAGAAAAAAAAAAAAAAAAAAAAAAAAAAAAAACCCTCATATATTGAAACTATCATTTTTAACAATCGACAAAAAATGTTCATTTTAATCGATATGATGTATTATGAGTGTTTATGTTAAAATTAGTAACGCACAATACTAAATGTTGATGTCTCACCAAGCTCAATAAATCGGTGATACTACTGGAAAACACGCAAAACACGCGTCACAGCCAGAAAGTAATAAAGACCCAGATAATTCCAAATAGGGTAGACTATTATCATCACCTCTCATTTTACTTCTATCACAGTCTTTCTTAAACCACCTATCAATTAAATTTTAAATTTTAATTATTACTTATTATACGTCTCTTATTACTTCAGGGAAAAAAAAAAAAAAAACCCTACAATTAAATTGTATTGTTTTCTTTTTTCGCCAACTAACAAATCGAATCTATCCTTTTCAAACAACTGTTTTTCTTTGTTAATCAAAAAGATATATCCGTTCATTCAAAAAAAAAAAAAAAAAAACAGAGAGAGATATACGTATAATTTTAAAACACAATATATTTGTGTCTTGTCATCTTATTTAGACTTTACGAGCCAGTATTCCGCGCGTTACTGCGGAATATAATATTTTATTATATGATAGATATATTTAAAATGTATTTATATATACACATATATTATATAGTATTGTATTATATGATAGATATAAAATTTGTACGAACATATTTACACACACATGTATATAGTACATATATATATATATATACAGATTGTACAAAATAAAATACAATGCTGTTGTGTTTCTTGAGCGTTTCATTTGTTTCAACTGCAAATATAAAAATGATCAAAATGTTTGTAAATATAGGTGTTAAGAAAAATAAAAATGTTTAAATTTTATAATATGAAATAAATATTATAAAAATATTTATATTACCTTATTTTTACACGTTTTGCATATTATCTTGTTATTCTTGATTGAGGGTTGTAAAAAAGGAATTATTTTTATGTATGTATTTAAATTAGTTGATAATATAGATTGTGTTAAATGTGGCTTACCATGTACCATGTTTTTTTGGTGTCAGAGTGTGTGGATCAATTGTGGAAGGTGTTGATAGTTGTACTGTTGGTATTAGTTGTAGGCTGAAAACGGAGAAGCTTTTTAAAAATGTGATCGACATAATATAAATCTTTTTTATGTATAGTTGAAAAAAGATAAATAAATATTATTTACCTTTATGGATCTTCTGTTCCTGTAGTTAACTGTTTTAGTGGCGATGATGGAACATAGATGTCTTCAAATATTTTAGAAATTATTGTGCTCATTTAGGTGCCTCGTTGTTGAAAGAAGATTTGGAAGATTTTTAATTGGCCTCGGATCTGATCAATTGCTAGTGGTATTATAAATGGATCGGTAAATCCTTCGTCAATTGTTAAGGCAGAACATGATTTTTTTATTAATGCCTGAGCGGTTCTGCCAAAAGCGATAACTTCCATGTCTCCAGTGTGATCTTCAATTTGGATTATTAATCTATACCTGTAAAATATATATAAATATTTTTTTAATGTTATAAAGTATATTTTTAAATTAATAAAGGTATATAATAAATAAAAACGATTTGGTAATAAATTTATTTACCATGGAGATTACAACTGCCCACACAAAAAAGCCAACTTAGAAGAAGAGAAAAATGAAGTGAAGAGATTAGCACTAAAACAGTCTAAAATTTTATAGAAAATACGCTGAAAATATACATATAATTTATCAATGAGAACTCCTAAAACAAAACAAATGAAGAGAAAAATAATTCTACAACAATCAGATTTGTTCCCTCATTCATTTTCTCTCATCTTTTAGTTTAGAAAAAAAAAAAAGAGTGAAAGAAAGTAAACACCAAACAGAGAAAATAGAAGCTTATAGCGCGAAGTAGAGACATCCTGTCCGTTTCTCGGGCGTTCTTGATAGCCTGATAACAAAACCAACAAATCCCATCAAATTTTCAATTCAAAACCAAGCTTTTATATTCCCCCTAATTTCAGAATTTAAAATAATAAAAAAATCTCCTCAAGCGTCTTTTGCTTAGTTTCTACTTCACTCAAATCCCTAAGAAAGTTAAGAAAAAGACAATTGTTGAAACAAAAAATCAACATAAAGTAGAAACTTTTCAACACAATCTAACTTGTAATTTAAATAACATCAATATTTGTGAAGCAAACCTTCAAATTGTTTGTCTCACACAGCATCAACACTTTGCACATAAACCATACTCATTGGCACAACCTAACAACAAAACGAACATAACAAAAACATTATAAAAATAATTGTAACTTCAATTTCAGAGCAAACATTTAAACAGAAATAAAGGGCAAAAAGCCTGTAATTTAGAAACTAACCGTGACAGAAATTATGGTAAGCCTAACGTACATTACGTTTCAAACAACGTTGGCTGAAACGTTTCAATTGTCACTTTATACATAACTCACCAATCAATACAAAAAAAATAAATAAAAAAGAAAAAAAATCAACATAATAGAGATCAAAGCATTTGATGTACCATTTGATCGGTTGATGAGTCCAATATAATAGAGATCAACGCATCTAAGCATGCCTCTTGTTCAAGTACTCCCCTAGTTGATAATACGTTCATCAAATTACACTAAAAAGTAGATCATCCCAATCCTATTTTTTAAAGAATACCACAGAAAACTAATTCAAGAAAAAAAACTAAAAATTTAACAAAAAAAGTTGTATCTGACTTTCATTCATTTTTAAGATTTATTCTAACTTAAGCACTCCGAGATCTAGCTATAAATCACTCTGTCACATAATTGAAAGTGAATACCTTATCAGATTTTGCAGTAAGGACAATCGTACTTGGTTGAAGCAATGCCTTCAATCTTTCTCTTTGGAAATCCGACAGCCTAATATCAATTGCATTACTAAATAAAGAATTCCCCTTTGCTTTGCCAAATTCTCTTCTGAGTAACTTGGGAGGTTGCAAAGTCAAACGCAGAGAATTTTCATCCTCTGATAGCAACTCTACAACTTGACATGTATAGTAATCAAAGTAATCAGGCCCATCCCTATTACATTCCTCATAAACACGTAAAGGCTTTGAATCTTTTAACATAACCAACAAAACCTTCTACAGCACAAATCACCACTAAGCTTATCAGGCAGAAAGGTAACCATAAATCATTAACAAAAGTAAAGGACAATCTTTTTCATTTTTTGAATATAGAAAGCAAATGGCCATTGATCAGAACATAGCCAATGAATCCCACAAACAGAAATTCCATACATATAGGTACAATTATCACCTTGTATATTTATAAATAGGCTTAGCTATGTAATTGATGATTATTGAATACAATTTCAGTATTATTCCCACTCTTGATTTCTTCTGCCTCATTCATTTCTCAAATTTCTTCCTAATTTCTCTTCTAAATCTCTTCCCTTCCTTTCTTTTTCTTCTCTCTTTAGTTCTACATCACCTTAATTCTTTTCTTAATAAGAAGAATAATAATTTGGTAAGCAAATTGATAATCAGACAAATGTGAAAAACCCCAATAGATTAAAACCCTTTTCTCACAGAAAAAATATGAACAAATGCACGGGTTTTACCTGTAATATACCAAATGCAGCACCTTTGACAACCTCCATTATTGGGCGTACATCGATGCCTTTTGGAGACAACAATTTCTTTCTCCGAGCCTTTCCACTAAGCGCCTATATTTCGTTTCGCATGACAGTTTCATTCATAATGAGAAATCTACAATTCAAAAGATTTACTACAACCACACACACACACATATATATATATATATATAACACCAAATTGAAAAAAGAAAAAAAACTTTGAAAATGAGAGAAAGATTATGGACCTGAGACAGTTGCAGAACTGTCCTTTGAAAAACGTCATCAATAGAAAAAAGCATAACAATAAGAGGGTATTGTATAAAAAAGCACAAAATTCAAACAGTTAAAGAAAATAACAACAACAACAACAATCAGTGGAGAAAAAAGGGAGAAGAGACAAAAACACCATGAAAAGAGATGGTGGAGATCGGTACCTTCTAAATCAAAATAGTTCGAGAAAGTGAAATTACCAATCTTAGAGAGAGAAGAATTCAGCGTCACAAAGAGAGAGAGAGAGAATTCGATGGGATGGAAAGCTGAGTTTGGTGGGATCATACTGTGAACGCCTAAATTGGCACCAAGAAGAAAGGAAAATCTGGCTGAAGATGAGAAACAAAGAAATATAGTCCAGAAATGAAAAAAAAAAAAAAAAAAAAAAAAAAAAAAAAAAAAAAAAACCGATCTTAAATATTGCAGAAATAAACAAACGGAATAGAGAAAAGTTGCTCCATCAACAAACGAAAAAGAGGAAAAAAAACACTCAATCTGAGTGCAAAGAAAAAATATATATATATATA